AGATTGGGTACTATCTGACTAAACTGAATGCGCAGAATATTAATCTAAGCCAAGTCACGGTATAGCCACACTGCATTGCTTTGAGCAGAAGATTCACATTTTCATGAAACTAGCTTGGACTAGAGCTGGATCAGGGCCCTTGGTTTGATCAGCCAATATAATAACTTTGCTGCAGAGAAGATCTCGAAACACAAGTATTTAAGTGATATGTTATTGGGACATATAAATTGCTAACAGATCCTATGACTTCACCTACTAAGATTATTCCACCTAGGTTGAGATATTTAAAATCACAATGATTTTAATGGTTCCATTTTTTTAAAGGTGTGTTTCTCTCCCACTGAAAAAAGTGGGACACAGAAATGCTTCACTTTAATAGGGTCATGGCCAATATATCAATTTTGTTTAAGTGTGTCCTACTATCCAATACTTTTTAAAGTTTTAATAATTTCTTTAATACTTAATATGGATAATCTATTGTTTTAGCACAGAAATACCTTCATTATAAGGCATTTTCTTTGCTAAAGCAGCAGAATATTGTTAGTCAAACCTTTTCAAAGTTCATCATTGCCAAAATTCAGAAATATAAGTAGGAATTGCAAAAATGATCCAATCATTGCCTCCTTGCTCTTGCTTTTATCAAAAATGAGTAATTTAGTACAAGAGACATACTGTAAACTCCCTGTACAAAATATCTGAGGTGAACTGGAGATAGAGAATGGGACAAAGAAGCCTTCCAAAAGCTGAAGTGCTATAGTACTAAGTGACTTCAGTTACCTCACAGTATTAATAAGTTCATGATTGAGTCCGTCTTCACATTCTGAGCAAAGTCCTTCAGATAACACAACAAAACCAATAAACAATTACAAGTTATATAATAGCCTTCTATTTAATTAACGCTTGGCAATTAAAGTTTCCCCAATATATTTTAATTTAATTTTAACATAAGACCACTGTCCAAACAGTAGCTGAAGAAGATTTTTTAAAAATAAAATACGGTTGTTGCTTAGTTGCCTGCCTCAAGAAATCTATTTTTCCTGAACTCTCTCTTTTCCTCTCTCATCCCTAAACTTGCTTAAACACAACTCATTTCTTTAGAAGCTTACCCACACCAAATGAACACACATAGAAAATTATCATGCTCACTGTGGAATTCTAATGGAGCATCTCTGATCCCTGCCGTTTACACACACTGGGTGCTTCCGAGTCCATATGTCTAACAGGGACGACTGCAGGGAGAACAAAGATTTCACGGATGGCTTCCAATGGAGTGCACAGGGGTGTCCTGGGAAAAAAAGTTACCTGCTTTCCCCCAGCACATTTTCCGTATCCCCAATTCTGCGCTACGGAATGCAATCAAAAGCTTGTCTGAGCATAGCCTTAAGCTAACCATCATCACTAATCTAGTCCCAGCACAGTATTTCACATCTTTTATATAAAATTTCAGGCTGGATCCTGGCTGAGGGCTGCTTCATATGTGATATGGAAGGCTGCCGGCAAAAAGTGTTTCTGTGGATTTGGGGACATGTTTGGGGTTAGTTTGATAATGTGGGGTCAATGCAAGCTTGGCATGCAGCCACGAATACTTCACACATGATCAAGGTGCTCCACATGGAAAGCCAAGCAGGAACGTTAGAGCCTTGGGCTACAGAAGCAATTTTCAACAGCCCTCGGCATCTATGCTGGAATGCAAAAGACAGACCGGTCATACCCTCTTCCTCATAACTATAAAAACTGTACACTTCTTTTAGATGGTTGCAGATCTCCTGGTGGCCAAGGTGCACCATGGTCCTTCAAGTCTCCCCACATGAATGGGAGCATTCTTTCACTATGGGTTTCTTTGCCAACTTAGCTCAGCCAAAATTCTCCGTATGGATCTCATACCACCTTACTGAAATTCATCAGGATCATACCATATTGCAGAGCTCAAAAGATGAAAACTTATTAAGCAATAATGAGTAATAATAATAAGCAATCGAATAGCTTAATAACACGAGAAGCTGATATTTGGCAAGTAATTAGTTCATTTCATCTCTTTTCTTTAACACTGGCAGGTTTCGCCCTCCCCCTCTCCTGACTTAAATGATATAGAAGAGTATGAAAAGGGGTTCTTTTGAAGCTATTTTGTTTTCAGTAATAAGCTGATTTTCCACCAGGTATAAGATTTGCCATTCGGAGATGGCTGCATAACTGGATTTGGCTTTCAGGGCATGACTATAGAAATGAGAGCCATAAGGATTCCCAGTTGTTTTGGCATGACAGCTGTATGGGGTAGAAGGCTCCCCATTTATCATTTTTGTGAAAGCCATATTTCTACGATGGCTGGAACTCCTTGGGGGTATATTGAAACTGACACACAGAGAAGCAGACGGGGGCGTTTACCCGGCTACATAACACCAAAGATTTTATTTCTTTTCTTTGCAAGTTCTGGCCTTTTCTATACCCCTCTTTCTAACCACAATAGGCATAGCTGAGCATTGTCACAACAGTAATCTCAACCTCCTTGAATTAACATTGGGACCCAGGTTTCTTTTTGAACTCTGTCTCCAGTTCATTGTCCAAGAAGAAGCTCAATTTGTTCATTGTTTTTTTCTATTATTTATTTTTAAAAAACTATATTTAAGAAGGGAGACAGGTTCCTGAGCAATGGTTGCCCAGATTTGTACATTCCAATGTATTTTCCTAATTTATTTATTTTACCCTATTTAAGATATTTCTTACCTGTGCTTCACCATAAGGTCTAGGGTAGGTTACAACCCTATAATCATATAAAGTGTGTTCTCCCTCATGGAGAGCACAGGTTGCGGGCGGGGCTGACAGGACACCTAACAGTTGCTAGGCAAATGGTTTGGCCATCCGTTAAGCAGGGGAGGGCTGTTACTGGGGAAATCTAGATGTTGCCATTTGTTGATTGACAGCCCTATTTGTTAAATACAATCCACGCAGCAACGAACTTCCTCTTTTAGCTGCGTGCTTCGGATCACCCGCCCTCCCTTCCCTAATTTTTGGCTGTTTGCTTGACCTTGCTATGCCTGTCATGGGGTTGTCTGCTTTGGGGCAGGGGCCCGGTAGGAATTTTGTACATTTGGCTGATTAGTGTGTGCCACTTGGTTTTTTGCCTACTGTGTAGCAAATCGTCACAACTTGTAAGGTTTGCGGTTAGGCATTGGTCTTGGAATTGGTTGGTGGAGGGGTATGGATTTGGCTGTGCCTGCCCCTCCAAAATGCTGCTGCTGCTTCAAGGGTTTTCTGTTAAAGAAACCCAGGGGCTCCCCATGCTTTTGTCCGAAACCCCCTGGCAAGGGTCTAGGGCCACGCAAGCCCCTGGGAGCATTCTGGGGAGAGGTGAGGCATGGTTCCCAGTCCCGTCTCTCTCCCCAGGTGACTTACCCTTGCTGACTTCGCGGGGGGGTGCGAATGTCAGAGCTGTCCCCGTGCGGGGTCAGTTAGTGCTACCAATGCCTAAGCAACCACTCACATTGCTGTAATTTGAATAAAGTTGCGGCCAAAATATGCCAAAAACCTTAACAAAAATTAAGTGTCAATTGTGTTTTTCTTTGGGGGGTGTCTTGGGGACCTCGACGCGCAACACCAAAATCCAATAAAGGAAATTAAAACAAACCAAAGAATGTACATCAAATAACAGAGGTGGCCTCACAAAAACCACAAATACAAATAGATAAAGAAAAGTATATTCAGCAAACAACAGAAACAATATAATGAGATTGCTGAATAATACCGCTTCATGGCTGGTATTTTGTGGTTGTTGACAGACTTTATCAAATTTATATCAGAGACAATACAGTTCGGAAGGTTAGGAAATTGATAGTTGTTGTTACATGGCAATAGATAAGTTGAAGCATCTCACACGGAAGTTAAAGCCATTTTGTCTACTTTCAAGTACTTTTGTGTCGGCATGGAAAACATTGGCCCAACTGTGTGATGATGAGGCATTCTGCATGAACAGCATTTGGTGTGGTGATAACATCTGTATGGAACCATTTGAAGCATCCAGGTGGTGGCTGTAGTCAAAATGTTTAAACTGGCTCTCAGGCAGTGATGGGGAGCCTGTGACTCTCAGATGTTGCAGAGGTTGGCAATGTGAACAGGATTGTGTTGGTCACCTGGCTTCCCAACATGGCATATCGCTGCCACTTCCTGAGTTCTCCACAGCCTTGCCCCTCCCCTTCTCAGTAACTGGCAATACCAAGTCAGTGACACAATCCCACCTGCAGCACCTGCTAGTGACTACAATCCCCACCATCCCCCTAACCATCAGCCCTGCTGTCTGGGACTGATGGAAGTTGGAGTCCAACCACATCTGGGAGGGCATCTGTCCCCCCCCGCTCCAGATGACAAGAGGGATTTGATCTGATTTGTGATTTAAGCTGCTCAGTTTTAAAGTGATTCTCACCGGTGACACTGCAATGTCATACCTGTGAACTGCTCCAGAAAACTGGGGCAGCCCGTTTCCCCCCACAAGAATATGTCAGCCATTTGGAGTACCTGCCCTTGCATGATTTGGGGCCAAGTTCTTGCCCCCCAAAAGTGTTTTTTTCTGGGTCCACAATCTCATGTGGTGCCTCAAAACGCTCATGGTTTTTTGCACTATACCTCCTAAAGTGCTATTTTTCAGGTCCACAATGTGCATTTTTGTTTATTGTGCCAGAAAAAAGTGATTTTTCTGGATCCACAATCTCACGTGGGCCATGTTACTCGCATGGGATTTCAAACCTGGAAGGTGGCGTCCCAGATTTGGGCTGTGTTGGAAGGTATGCAATGCATAAGGCGCTCTAACATGAAAGTACTGGCATCTTTTCTTCCTGTTCACCTTTCATTTTGAAAATGAACTTTCTTTTCTTCAGTGTGCTACCAGTCTGGGGGAAATGTGTGCTACTAGTCTGTGTAAATGTTTTGACACTTTCCTACTAGATGCCTTTTTATGTATATAAAATAATTGCTTTACCCTCCTTCACATTATAAACCTGTGACAAACTGTATATACTTCAACAAAACTGTTTTATTTCCCCCCCTTGTGTTCTCTCTGATATTTCAGCTAACTCCTTTGATTTTACATACTTCAAAAGTCCACTGTGGGGGAAGATGCTTTGTTCTTTCTTCATTATTTTGCCTAAGAAGAGAAAGCAAAGAAAATAGAGTAAAAAATTCACAGCACCTGCCCATGATGCCATTTCTTGAAAAAAACATTATATTGCTACTTTCCTAATTTTTCCTAGAATTGGCATCTTCCCCCCCTTTCTTTTTGTTCTTCTTTAACAATGAATAATGGAGCAATATTTCCATGTGATGCTAAGAGGTGATCCTTATGACCCCAAATTTGCCCTCAGCGTATGATGAATTCAAAGGGGCACACAACTAGTTGAGAAATGCCTGTCTGATTGTTCAGTCTTGCAAACAAATAAATTATCAGCACATGATATAGTGAGCAACAAATAATGCTGATACTTAGAAACTTGAGTTGGATGAACTTGAGCTGCTGAGATATCATTCATTAACAATTTCAGTATGTGGACTCCTTTAATATATGAATTGGTGTCCCCACTACTGAAGGCAGTCGCTCCTTTTTAGGACTCTACTTTATTCAACAGTGGGATGTATACAGCACAAAGCTTGGGTTTCCATTTTTGGGTACTCTTTAAAGTACTTTGCTACTCTTAAGGTGCTTTAAGTTACCTTAAGGTACTCTTTCACGGACTTGAACAAATTTTGTCCATGATGACTATTATTACTCAGAAATTACTCAGTAATTATTCTTCTACCACTTTTCTATCCAAAGACCACCCAAGTGGTGCACAAAAGTTAATTGAAACATAAAAATGAAAATAAAATACAAGTTATAATAAATGAAGTCAAACACTGAGAGCGGTATTCAGCAAAATAATTGCACTTGTGCATGTACTATTGCTAGCCCAAAGGGACTTGCCCTTCTTCCTTGCTCCTACCATCCCCAGATATACTCCAAGCAGTTGGAGGGAAACCCCAGAACAGATTTAGGGAAGATACAATGGGAGAACATTTTGTTGCACAAGGAGAGGTCCTTGTGCTGATGGAATGTTGGCCTCAGCACTACATTGAATACAACCCTAAGAAAATCAACATGTCGAGGATATCAGTGGTAGATGAATAAGGGAGGCTGGAACAATTCAGATCAGGAAAAGCAAGTGAAGAAGCCAAGCATACCTTTCAGGGGAGCACATTCCAAATTATAGGTGCCACAATTCCCTGGACCCTAGTTAAACCCAGCACTGTGAACTGGGGTTGGAATTCGGTTAGGCATCAATGGAACATTGTTTATTTAACTCTTTTCTAAACTGCCCTTTATAATTCCAGAGTGGCTCACAACCTTACATTCCACTAAAATCAGCACAGTGGGATGCAATAAAATATAATAAAACATATCAACATCCACAGTGGACCCATCAGTTATTTCAATAAGCCTGGGATTAATAACCAGTAATGCCTGGGTGGGGAAAAATTATTTAGCAAATATTGGAAACTCATTGGAGTTGGTGCTTGCCTTATTATGGAGGGGAGTTGATTCCATAAACTGGGTACCACAATGGAAACCTCCCCCAGGTGGCAACAAAACCAGGAGGACCTCCTTCAAAGATCTCAATATGAACAAATAAATCTAGATATTTAAGGTGTGTGAATGTATATATAAAACTTTACATCAGAATCCATTAAATAAATAAAAAACTACCCAGCTGGGGTTAACAGAACAGACATTGGTACTAAAACACAAAATAATGGACTGTGAAAACTATCAAAATTCATTCCTAATGCCAGCAAAGATTCCAGAACCCACATTAAACCACTGCTTTGGGGCAACCATAAACATGGTGCTAAGTGAAAGCAGTATTGAAACAAGAACTACTACAAAGGTTTTGATTAGGTACTAAAATGAATCCATTGTGGGAAGTGATATGGACAGAAGAAATCCACAACCAAAACAGACATGCAAGTAATGATTTGGGAGCAGCTCGAAAAACCAAAATAATGTCATCTTTCTGACAAGAATAATCGCCAAAACGTTTTAATCAAGGAATTCACTAGCTCAAATGGTTTTGAGTGGTGGAATGCAATTATGTAATTGGCTGATTGAGTGCTTTGCTGCACATCTTGCACAACCGCTTTACTACATAGCCACATGGAACTCATTTTTGTGGGTTTAGACATTCCCCCAGTTTGTGCTACCTAGATATAATGGGCCTGCCAAGGCAATTTTCTAAGCCACAATGTGAACTACTACTACTGCTACTGCTACTACTGCTGCTGCTGCTACTATTACTACTTGTTGTTGTTGGTAACTTTTTATGCCTAGATCCTATGCTTGTAGCTGACTGGCTAAAGTCACTTCTGAGGGAAATGTGACTGTTTATGCTTACCCTTAGCCTTCCATGTCTTTAATTGCTTTCCTGCATCTTCAAGTCACTTCTCAAAACCCATCTAATCCACAATGCCAAGAAATAAAAATATATCTTCATGTCATAAAAAAAAAAAGACAGTTCACAAGTTTATCAACAGCAGGCTTGCTGACATCAGGAATTTGTGTAACTATTTGCTTCATCGCACTCTTGCTGCCAGCCCCTGGACATGGTTTTTTCCAAGTTGATACCCATTATGAGCTCTCGTCAAGTTAGCGGTTGTTAAAGATGTTTCTTTGGCTATCGGGCCTTATATTTTGCTGATGCTAAAATAAGAGTTACTCTTAGGGTTGAAATGACATGTATTAATCTTCAACTGTTTCAGACCTAACCTGCAACTTGAAACCCACTTTTAATTCTTAAGTATATATGTCTTTCTGCAATTCCTGGTAGAATTGTGAGGTAGAAAGGCGAGCAAAATTATTGTCCGATATCTTTAGTGGTTGTATAAGAGAGGCAGGTTTTCTGCCCTCATTTGGGCCTGGTCTTGCATTCCCCTTCTCCTTCCCTCCGAAATAATATGCTGCCAGTGATGTGATACCTTATGTAATGTTGAGGAACAACTATTTGTGAGTAAGATGCAGTTCCAGGCTAAAGGTGTCTACAAAATAATTAAACAGAACAAAAGGATTAACAGATGTTTTTCAATACCCAACCTGTAATATATATTCCAACAGTTTTGGAAGAAGTACTGGAAATGTTGTGTAAGATCTTTGGACATGCTTGGGGAAACAAAACCAAGCATTTCTAAATATTTTTCAGATAAACTTTCCAGTTTATTTTGCATTCAACCAAGGAGCAAGCTTATATCATATTGGTAATTGTTGCAGAATTTGTACGCTTTCCATTTTGGAGCAGAAAATTCACTGTTTCTTTGCCTACTCAGAAACTAGTGAGTGATGACTTAAAGGGGTATGATAGATACCCTCTTGGAAAAGACTCATTTGTTGAGTTGAAGTATGTTGAAGTATGTGTGAAAAGTTGCATTTTCACTCTTCACAAGAGGCAAATGTATGGTTCTAATTACTTTCCAGGCATTTATCCTGTGGCTGAAATATTTGAATCCAGTCTCTGGGCCTGAGTATCAGTGCCCCATATTAATTTGCTGTAGCCTTCGTTTCAGTATTTCACACCCTCCCCCCCCCCCATGGTTGGTCCAGGTGCAAGCTGAAGTCGATAAAAGCTGGCAGCATTTGTTTTATTGTGAACCTTATTCAGCCTGATATTTAATTACGTTTCCGTGTGGATTTGTAATGTGGATTAATAGTTTTATTGTAAGCCTGCGATTAGTTTCTGTTTGTTCTAATTTCTGTTTGGCTCTCTTGACCTTGAGGTGAAAATCCCACACACAGAGAAGATGTATTCCCTCAATTTAATGCCAGTCTGAGGTGTTTCTCCTGCATCATCAGATCAATGAAAAGTAAATAGCCTACACTTCTTGTTTCACAGTGCAGTATTGATCTTTCTTCAGCTTTTGCTTCCCTTTTTTTTCCCTGCGTCTTGTGTCTTTCAACCCCTGGGACCAAAGTGATTGCCATAGATTGGACAAGCTAACAAGCGCATGATAAGGAACTAGTGTTTTGTGGTATTCTCGCATACACATGCTTGGTATATAAACCCAGACTTCTCTGCATTGAAAGAGAGGTGCCATTTTGTGTATGGCACAAGTCGCTGTGAGAGACAAACCAGAGGGAAAGCAGTAGAACAACAGAGGATTTAATTCTTCACACCGGTCTTTTATTTTTGCAGCTGGTGCCAAGCATGGTAAGGACATCCCTGGACATTACTTAAGACAAGAAGCCCTGTGGGGAACGTTGTAAGCCGTTTCTTGCCTTGGTGAACATATGGGACTCTGGCAGCTTGGAAGGTAAGTCTGAACTTGAGACGGTAGTGACCATATTTTCATTTTTGTCAAGCCCTGTTTGAATTCTGGCTTTCAACATCCTGTGTCACACATGTTACAGGCAGTGCTTTGAAGTTACTAACAAAGATGTGTTTTTTTTTCCTTATTGTAAGTAAAAGATGGGATTCCCATTGCTTCTCAGAAGTTTGTTTTGTTTGATTGTTTGGGGTTTTTTTTAAAAAAAAGAATGGGTTGATTTTAGGGAGGAGAAATGCATTCACTTGCCTTCTAAATGTATAATGTAATGGAAATACCATACTTTGTAAATCTAAGTGCTTACCTCTCTTCAAGTCTGTTCAAGCTGTGATATTATACACACTGTGCTATCTACACACACACACACACACACACACACACACACACACACACACACTATGGGCCCTTCTCTGTCCAAAGTGTTCTTTGGTACACACACAAAATGGATAAATGAATAATGGATAGCATATCACATACTATGCAATCTGTTGTTTCCTTCAAATTGGTAGATATTTGGGCTGTGCTGATCTGTAGTTTTCTGACATTTCTTTCAGTTTGTGGGAATACAGTTGTTATCTCTAAAGGTGCTTATTAGTCATGAGTGCCATTGACTGCTGCTGGAAGAGAAATAAATGTAAATATAAATAAGTAATTCATCCTCAAGTTACTTTTCACCTCCCCTTTCAGACACTCTGCTGGAGCAGGTGTGAGGATATTATCATACTAGTTCCCTGACAGTAATCACAGATGTGCTGGTGTAGATGTAGTGAAAAGTTACTATTTTCTGTCTAATCAGTGAGGTTGTAGCCTTTTGTATATTAAGCACTGGAACATGTGCAGGGGCTTGTCACACTGCTTTCTTTTGTAATACTTAACACGTTCTCTGAGCTCCTCACAATTGCACACAAGCATTCCCTTCTGTAATTATTATTGCTGAGAATATCCGGATATACAGTCAGTACAATGTCCCTTGGACACCACTGCAATGCGGGTTACTGGACAGTATTTTCAGCAGCGCCATGGACAATGCAAGGTGTTACCTTTATTGTTTGAGTTGTTAAAAACAGAAAACATTGCACATGGCTCAAATTATATCTAATGCCGGAGCTCTTTTCTTTTTGAAGCACTATGACATTTTTCACTTCTTGGAGCGAGGTGCTTGTTCTCACCCGAGCTATTATGTAATCCTCAGGGTAACCCCACTCCTGATTTGAACACTATTAATTTTCTACTATAGCATGCTAAAGATGCTCTGCAGTGTGGCACTCACCTGCATTATTGAGTCAATGACCAATTGCAGAGTTGCTTGGTGCTGGTTGGGGCTTAACTCAACCCTTCGGGATCTCATTTATTATTTGCAGATATTGATTTTTTTGTGGGGGAGGGGGAGCAAGAAGTGTGACTCTAATACTGACTTAGACCTAGACTTACAGCTGTTAACACTTAATGGTCTGGTGACTAAACAAGCCCTGTGTGAAGCTTGCACGTTTATGAAGAGTACTGATGCACAAATAGATTATCCCATTCATTTGTTTTGTGACATTGGGGTGAACAACGCCTTTTGTTGTTGTTCTTTTGGCAATAGTTAAAATCTAATGTCCACCGTTTCTTCCCCAAATATCCTCTCGGCAGAAGACTATTAAACTGAGGGTGGAATGACCACTATATATTCAGTTTATACAAAATGAAATTATGCTAGAAAGAAAGCTTCTTGTTCAAAGTTAGTCAACATGGTACCTACAGAGGTGGTTGGACTACATCTCCCATCACCCCCAGCCAGCATGGCCAATGGTCAGGGATGATGGGTGTTGCCATCCAACAACATTTGAAGGGCACCACAGTGTCTAGTCAAATAATGACTGCATCAAAACATATTTTGAGCTTTATGTAAGCTAGGATCTTTGAAAATAAATTCCTAATTCAGTGTCAATATGGGCAAACCAATCCTGACCACTAATTGTGGCATGTGCTAGGATAGAAGCAGTGGTGTCAACTTGAATAAAATATTGGATGGGGGAGGTAAGCCCTGCCCCACAAAATCAATCACATGTTGTGGTGCATGGACACCATTTGAATGGCAATGCCCATCAACTTTGGGGGGTCTCCAGCCCCCTCAAATACTTTATTGGGGGGAGCAAAGGGACCTTGCCTCCTAGGAGTTGGCTCCTATAGATCGAAACATACTGCTGGTCCCTCCTTGTATGACAAATGAACAGTTTTGGAAATTGTTCTCAAAGGCTGTCCTGAGTGCCAATGGGCATAAAGGCATGCAGGTATTAATATGGTGGTTGGTCCAGGGAATGAAGATGAATGATGCAGGTCTGTGCACATCTACACACACACACACACACACACACACACACACACACGAGTTTGGGGCTGGTGTTTCTTGCAGTCCAATCTCTTGGAAAGAGCTTTGCAATAAGTCAGGATCTAGGAAGGTGCTAAGGACAAACAACAGGAGAGAGATGTTGCATTCATGCTCAGCTTGTAGCATCCGAAAGACATTCAGCTGACCAGAGTGCTAGACAAAATGGATCTTTGGTGCAAGCTCCCAATGCCCCTTTAAATCAGCAGTTCAAACTCAGTAGCTGGAAGCATCTTAAGAAGAGACTTTAATGTTACACTTCCAAACTCTATCCATACCACATTTCACAACAGCACACTGAAGTGCAGAGTTGATTATTAAACCACACTGTAACTGTAGCTCTGTGTGTGGAATAGGGATCTCCTGAAAACTCTCAGGACCCTTAACAAACTACAGTTCCCAGGATTCTTTGGGGAAAACCAAAGTAGAATATGAGTGCTTTAAATGTATGGTGCGACTGTGGCCTTCAGCTCAGCTGCTAGCAAGGTTGAAACCACAGAACTTCACCAGGGCCTGTTTGTGAACAGCATTCAGTGTATTGAGCCATTTTAAGCCCAATGTTGTTTCCTACTCACGCAGCCAGGAGTTTCACAATTGTGTGGCTACAAACAAGACTGCATAACAAACCAAAAGTCATTGCTTCAGCAAAATAAGCCTTCATTTTCCCTGAGTGGAGCAGGTGTGGCTTTGATTCCTCCCCCCTCATCCTACTTTCTGGTAATCAGCAGCATTTGTGGCTAATTCTCTCTAAATACTCACTTTGTTCTTTGACTAGTAGTCTATCCATTCACAGCCAAATGGAGCTTTAGAATGATTTTTCTGCCCACTGTTCAAAGTATAGTATATTTCAACGCATTTGTTATTACTGTGTTTAATGAAGAAGCAACTGTGTATTAATTGCAAATTTCATTTACTTCCGCGGAGTGATTATGCAAATAGGGATTTAGTCATCCTAGGCACCTATTATGAATGGGATTAGCCATGGGTGATGGGGTTCAGAGTTAGGTCCCATCTTTCTAGCATAGCCATACCATTCAAGTGTTATGATCAAATGTTAAGCTACCATATGAAGAGGTCCAGTGGGGATGAACATCATCATTTCAGCCCCTCTCCAGATTGTTGAGGGCGACTTTCTGAAGCAGGGAGCCAAAACGCCCTGAGTTTAAACACATGTGGAGAGCCTTTACCAGTGCACAAGATGCTGTCCCCCACTGCTGACAGTCACTTTCCACAAATAGGTGTATGACTGGGAGAGTGATGGAATGGAGTTAGCATACCTGTCATCACTCCCCATCCCCCTCTACACATAATAACTTAAGACTTGATTAAGATGGAAAGGATAATGATGAGTATCCTGGTAAGAAAAGTGATTAGTTCACAAAAAGGCATCATCAAACTATAATGGATAGATTTCTTTGGGGACCATGGATAGCAGCACTGAATACTCGTACGTTTGTTTGGAAGTCAAGGGCCAAAATGCTGCTTTCTAAAAGTAACATTTTGGCCGTGTAAGACCATTTAGGTCTTATTCAGTTCACTTGGCCTATTGTGTATGTCGTTACTAGAATGAAATGGAGCAGTTCACTCAGCACTGACCTGCTGCTTGTCACCCATCCATCACCATTCTTCTTCATATTTCAGAAGACATAGGCAACTGTTCTTTATACAAGTCCCGGGGTTGTTTCTCTTTCAACATTTGATGCACCTAGTAAATAAAAACATGAAGAATTCAGAATTGTTCATCGTGCTAACCCTATGAGTATTCTGTTGCTATAAATATTAATTGCCCGGGCAACAGGGAGGTTCATAGAACATTAGGTCAGGTTGTCATATATATTGCAGAGACGGGTAACTGAATGAAATGTAGCACACACTAATGATCAAATTTATCTCTGCAAAATGTATCAAAGAATTAGGTTGGGAACCCCCAGTTTTAGGACGAGGTGACAGTAGGAATTAATTGAAATTACTTCTCAGGGCAATACATATCGCTCTGTTACCTTTTTATATATATAAATAAATCCCCTAGTCACTTTATTTGCAGACTAACAAATAATGTTTATTGAGAAAAACTAGAGAGAAGAGTATAAGTGAAGTCTTATACCGTAGCTTATAATGGTCAGATCACTAGAATTCCATTTTGTCTCTTTCTAGCAAAAAGAACAATTTCAGGTCATCCCCTCCACAACTGACTGCATATAAAAAAGCTAGGGGCAAGCTAAATATTACCTATGCAGAGCAAGTGATTGTGGCTTAGGCTTTCTAATTGGATCGAAGCTGGTTTGAGGGGCGAAGCACATCAAACAGCAGTATTTGTCAAGGAACTACAAGATTGATAAGGGTTGTGGCTAACATCATGTGAATGCATCGTGTGAATCTAGCAGTGGGGCAAACTGGATACATAGCAATGTGAACCCACAGTGATGGGTGTGCTCGTGCCAGCCTTCTTATAATCCTCTGTTGTCCCTGTATAAGTATATACAGGGCTCCTTGGTTCTCCAGCAACAAATAGACTTCAGCCACAGTCCTATGAATGCTAAACTTGAGTAATCAGCACCAAACACAGCAGGGCATATGTCTGAGTTGGTTACATTGTTTATTTACTGCCATGCACTTCATTTCTTGAATTTGCCCTGTCTCAACCAGTCTTGCTTTCTTCTGTACTGGTGCTTTATCTTGTGTAGCCTAGACATGGCAAATGTATTATCTTGGTCATCAAAACCACTGCCTGATTACACCTTTGTATGTATATCAGTCTTATTTTGTGAGTTCCTTTTCCACTTCTATTTTTACAGGCCTCTGCCTACTTGTCAATCTTAATCGAGCAATTTGTAGCTTTCATTACAGAACTGACTTCATGTTGACGACGGTTTGCATTTACTCCTGATCACACAATACGTCTTGTGTGGGTTTTTGTAGCTGAGGAAACAGGGATGTACAGGAGTGCCAACTTGAATAAAATATTGAGGAGGGGGCAGGTAAGCCCTGCCCCCACATAATTGATCAGAAGATGTAGCATGCACACACGATTTGAATGACAATGCCTATCAACTTTTGATGCTCCTGGCCCTCTCAAATATTTTTATTGGGAGGAGATCAAAGGGACCTTGGCCCCTGGGAGTTTGTTCCTATGGGGATGTCCACAGTTTCCTTAAAATGGTGATTGGCAGGCTTGAAGTTAAAGCTCTCTAGTCACATTGTATGGAATTCTCACAGTTTGGAAAAGAGTGTGGATTAAACTCTCGTGTGTACACTCATAATAACTTGCTTGGAAGAAACTGCCAAGTGATGGAAGAAAGGTAGTATTACAAGCATTAAAAGAAGATCACATTTTGATCAAATGTCCTATAATATTTCCCCCCCAGCCATTGGAATCTGGTCTTGTAGTCCCTTTTCTGCCTTTGCCAAGAAATATATTGTGGTGTAGTATGAGTGTGGATCAACTCACACAGCCACAATCAACTCTGTGGTGAGAAAATGGTCTTGCGATCTCACCATTAGGCTGTAAACTGATTGGAACAGAGTGATTTATTGATGTACAAACAGATAATGAATTGATAATTCTCTTAAGTGCTCATTAACCCACACCAAACTGGCTATGTTATAATTATTTTCTTTCTATTAATTACCTTTGTTATCTGCACTGGGAGAAGAGGGGAGGGGGGGGAACAAAGCAAGATGCATATCTGAAGAGAATAATGTTATTGAAGAAGAAAGATTTTTGGTTACTCAATAATGCACATTTAACTACAGTTCATTAAATTCAGATGATTCTTCATATTGTTGAAATGCTTCAGCTTAGCTAATTGATTTCCTGAATGCGGTTCACTTCGAACCACTTATCATTTCCAGCAGAATGTTTAGAGCTAACATTTTTAAAAGGATGCCTTTGGAATTATGAGCAACAAGGGATGCTACAGGCACAATTTGGATGCCAAAGAGGACCAAGTGTATATTCTAGCTAAACAGAGGTACATACAAAGATGTGGGTGTTTTGAATCCTGTTGTTTTTTAGCACCAAAGATAAAATGCCCTCTAACTGCCAGGTTACCTGTGATAGTTGTTATCAAGGACACTTAAATCCCACAGAGCCCAGAAAGAAAAGTCTTGATAACACTTCACTAAGCCAACTGAACAAAACCAGTATATAATCTGAGGAGAATGGAACAGAGAGGTTTTGTCTTTCTTAGTTCCAGTCTTGTACATAGCAGTTATGTAAGCATGACAGACTATGTGTGCTCAAACAAGTGGACTCCTCAATGAGATCTGGTGTTATGCTTAGCCATGACCTGGAACTAGACATGGAGTCCTTGGTGGATGAACCAGCAGTCCACAGTCTGAGGATCTTTTTTTTATAAATAATTTTTATTAACAGACCAATCAAATCAAATCAAATTACAAAGCCGAATTTTAAATTTTTTGTTGGGGGTACCCATATTTCAAGTTCCAAAAGGGATCCAATCATCTTGTTGTTGCTGCTGCTTTAATGTCCACAAATCTGTCCAAATAGTGCTCACAATTCTAGCCAATCCTTTCTTGTTATTTTCCACATCTCTTCTTGTTATTTTCATATATTTTTCCTTTCTCTTTGTGACCTCTGATAGTCTCCACAAGCGGGTTAAAACAAATTGTAATACTGTGTGGGTTTTTGCTCGTTAATCTTCACAGATCTGTCACTCCCTTTCTCAGTCCTCTGAGGAGGTTCTGCCAGTCCATAGCTTCCTCCTCCCGATCATCAATCTTTCGACAGAACCTGCCAAGATGGCGACTCCCTTTTTATTACTGCGTCATTCCAAGAGCCCTTGTTCTTTTCTTGATCTCCATAAGCCAAACTTTTGGTTAGTAATTCATTTCCACACAGTTTTTAATCATCCTGCTTAGGTCAGTTATGCGACGGTTCTTTCTTGGGGAGGGGTTATTGGTTAATCACATAGAAGAAAAGAAAAAAAGTCCCCCCCCATCCAGTCCTGCTCCGACATACCGAACCTTTGATGTATCTTCTTCAGATATATTCCTGTTAAATCCAACCCGTCGCTCTACTTTCACAAAGGTCACTTCAATTAGCAGTCTTCACTCCCATTCTTCACTTGAAATATGTGCATTTGCTTCTCTCTCTAATTGTTTATTTCGAGCTGCTGCAACTAGTGCACGATCAGAGACAGCGTCCGGGAGAGCCGGACCCACACAAGGGCTTTGTGCCTAGTGCCCTCACCCCCTTCTTTCGAATCTGGGGGTGATTTATGGCTACAGCAGGCAAGGCAGTGTTCCCCATTTCCTTGGGGCAACAAGGGAGGCTGCATACTCCCATATCAGCCTCTTAATTACCTCGTGTGAGCCGGAGAGATGTTATTGTCGGCCATCTTCCAATGCGCCCCTAGCGGCCCCCTCACAGTCTGAGGATCTTGAGGCAGGACCCCCTGAATCCAATGTTAAGGATCCCTTTGAGGGCACTTCTGGGTTGATACCTGATGAAATACCACTGAAGCTGTCAGAGAAGGAGGTGGATCAGTGCCTCTGCTCCTGTTCTCAAGAGAGCCAGCAAAGGTTTTGGGTCCAGACTGAAGAGCAGCAGCACAATATGCATCACTGGACCCAGAACCATCAGTGCACTCAATGATACTTTACTGCCGACAGCTGTGGTTAGGAAGCCAAAGTATATAAAGCCTTCCTCTTGAGTCTTCCAGTGGCAACAAAGAGCATAGGTCTCTGGCTCCTTAATCCCTACAGCCTTGTTCCTGGCTCCTGGCTCTAGTTCCTCTTGCTCACTGTGCTGTACCTTGTGGAATACCTTGTGATATTGACCTTGGACTGCTTCCTGACCTTCCTCTGGATCATGTTTGGAACTATAATGCATCCATGTGTCTGCTGTCAGTTGGTTAGGACTCCTGTGGTGCACCAAAAACTCTCCCTGTGTTGGTAAGTACTTTAGTGAGAGGCTTACCCTTCCTGGGAATTGAACCCTAACCCCTGAGAGCACCCCTTGATGCATGGCATCCAAGTGTATCTACTTACAGATGATGGATGGGAGGATTCACCCAAAGGGATACTGTGTGGATCAATAACCACACTTCTTTCATGGATGTTTTCTTTTCACTTGGATCGCTCTCACTAGTTTGGGGGCCAGTCTTCGGAAATAGTTTTCAGAAATCTCAGATCCCTTCCACAGATAATTTTAAATATTATGTTTTGATCCTGCTTTTCAGAAAAATATTGTCTCCCACAGTGGCTTACATCCATTAGGAAATGAGATCCAAACCCCTTTGTAGTTTACAAACAAAAACTCCAATAAGCACAAGGAAAAAAGGGAAGGGAAATGGTACAGCAACTGAATCAGTTTGATGATGTTAAGAAGAAGAGTTTGGATTTGATATCCCGCTTTATCACTACCCAAAGGAGTCTCAAAGCGGCTAACATTCTCCTTTCTCTTCCTCCCCCACAACAAACACTCTGTGAGGTGAGTGGGGCTGAGAGGCTTCAGAGAAGTGTGACTAGCCCAAGGTCACCCAGTAGCTGCATAAGGAGGAGAGGAGACGCAAACCTGGTTCACCAGATTACGAGTCTACCGCTCTTAACCACTACACCACACTGAATAAACCACCACAATGAATTGAGAACACAGCCATTTCCATTCAGTTGGTGCTGAGGTGGCTAACCTGTACCTTTGCAGATGCTGCTGAACTCAAATACCCATTGGGTACAGCCAGTCTGGCCAGTGGTCAGGAATAAAAGGAGCTGCAGTTTAGCATAATTTGGAGAGCCACAGGGTCTCCATCCCTGAATCAGATCCTGGGCTGATATTCCTTTGTTACCTTTCTCAGTTGGCTGAAAGTGCAAAGCTACTTGGTGGCCCTTTGTCCTCTGTTTCTGGTACAGACCAGAGTGCCCTTTTCCTCCTTTCTGCAGTTCCAAGTCAGCAGATAGGTAGCTAGAGCAGAGTTCATTCTGGCAGGGAGATTTAAAACCGCTGTATTCATCATCACATTTATAGTTGGTTCATAATTACTACAGGAGCAATCTTTCAGAACTTCCAAAGTTCAGTGCTCATAGACAAGATATTGGAATGCATTTACTAATTAAATTTGCTGTATTAAAAATCAATTAGATTAAATTTAAACAAGCTCAGTTTAATTAACGGTTGGAGTGTAAGTCAAGATTGAGTTTCTGATGAACATTTAATTCAGTTGTTATTGTACTCAAGTACTTTTTCATGCCTTAATTATCATGAACAACATATATCTGTTCTATAGCAGTCATTGAAGCTGTCTTCTGCAATCAGCTGGTCAGCTTCTTTCTCACATATACATGCATCACCCAAAAATTATCTGTTACCAGGCTCTGAACAATTTGTTCTAAATTAGCAAAGCCTTGACAAAATGAGATTCGTCTTCTCAGTAATTTTTACAACAACCCTATATTGTAGTCATTACAGGGGTGTTCACATGTTGCATTTAATGAATGTACAATCTGTGTACCCAAACATTTGAGCTGTACACTTGTGCAGTTATTCCCCAGTGAAGTTCAGTGAGTGTACAGTGTGTATACCCATGTACACAATAGCTGAGCTATAAAAGTCAGCAAGTAAACTTTATTTTACACAAGCTTTTCTACATGTATACAGATAGCTTGTAGTGAAACATGTGACTAAGCCTTATATTACTGACGGGAGGATGCACTCAGAGAAAGTGAGTTCCTTGCCTAAGTCCATCTAATGTTTGTGACAGAAACAGCATTTGAAGTGGGGACTTCCTGATTCATAACCCTTCTCTTAGTTCATAGCCTACTGCAGGGGTTCCCAAGCTGTGGTACATGGGCCACAGGTGTGCCATGAACTTCATTCACGTGGTCTGTAGGATGTGTGTGTGGATATAATTAAAATTATACAGCATCTTGCACAGTACATCCCCATTCCTACAACAGACAGTACATTTCTGAGCACAGTTCAAAGTGTTGGTGCTGACCTTTAAAGCCCTAAACAGCTTTGGCCCAGTATACCTGAAGGATTGTCTCCACCCCCAATGTTCCGCCCAGACACTGAGGTCCAGCTCTGATGGCCTTCTGCTGGTTCCCTCACTGTGAGAAGTGAGGTTACAGTGAACCAGGCAGAGGGTCTTCTCGGTAGTGGCACCCGCCCTGTGGAACACCTTCCCATCAGGTGTCAAGGAAATAAACAACTAGGGAAGTTTTTAATGTTTGGTGTTTTATTGTGTTTTTAATATCCTTTTGGAAGCCACCTAGAGTGGCTGGGGAGGCCTGGCCAGATCAGCAGGGCATAAGTAATAAATTATTATTATTATTATTATTATTATTATTATTATTATTATTATTTTGTGTGGCTTTTAGGAGAGTAAGACGTAAATAGATGAGACCTTCCTCAACTGAATTTTACACATACACACACACACACACACACACACACCCTCTTCCTCCCCTGAATCTGCTTAGCTTTACCAATCAGAGAACTGTGGAGAGGTGGCAGCATTAATTTCTCTTGCTTCCCCTTTGCCTTCGTGATGCTCTTTTAGCAGAGGAGGAATCCCTGTCACAAGCCTATTGTAATGCATTGTTTACTTCAGTTTACAATTGGGATAGCATGGTCAGAATCCAAACAGATTTTGAGACTGGGATGAAGCTGAAAGATGGGGGGGGGGGGAATCACTGAAGCTCTAAAAAATCCTCTGATCTTTAGTACAAATAACAAAGAAGATATGTAAGACAAGAAGGCATTTCCTCAAGGAAACCCCACTCAGTATTATATCTATGAATGCACAATTGTTCAATCTTCTAGGGAAATGAGCAGATCTAGGTAGCTTCAAGGATAGATGCCCTTTTGCCTATTTCACTAACAAAGACCACAGAGGGAGAATGGGGAGAGAAGGCTTTGCAACCTTTGCGATGGAGTCCCGGGGCAATCTTTCTAAAACAGAGGCTTCAGCACATTTTATTTGTTTTGTTGATTTACAACATATTCTGCCCTCCATTCCTTCAAGGTGAAAACCAAGGTTTTCAGAACAAAGTGACAATAAAACAAATAAAATAAAATGAAAAACAAAGTTTAAAATTATCGACGTTACATCAAATACACGAGCCAAAATCAGTCATCATAAGAAGAGCCCAACAATTCCTTAATAAGATGACACAGAAGTTCCTCAAAACAACACATGAAACCATTGCAAAACAGGGTGACTGGCGGCAGTCAGGCAAATTCTTGTTGACATAAGCATGACCTTCCTTTCTTCCTGGGAAGTTCAGAAGTGATTGATACTGATGGGTTTCTATTTGTTCCATAACACCTAAGCATCTTGGCTTACGTGATGTTGATTAGTGGGAGGCGGAGCCTTACCTAGTGGTAGTAGTGGGCCAAACAGCCCCTAAGCACTCCTAATAGAATTGTCAAGTTGGAAGAGACTGTAAGGGTCATCTAGTCCAACTCCCTGCAATGCAGGAATATGCAGCTGTCCCCTGCAGGGATTGACCCTGCAACCTTGGTGTCATCAGCACCATGCTCTAACCAACTGAGCTATCAGGATGATTTGTGCCCATGATGCTATGGGGTGACCATGTGCAATCCCTCTTTCAATATACAGTTTGTTCCTGGAAGAGTTTTGCAGTCATTTCCAATAGTGCATATTCTGTAACTTTCCTGCTGAAATCTTGTAACAAATGTTCTGGTTTATTTCTGTCCCACTTTTTTACACTATCACCCCTGAGGAAGCATCACATAACAACTAGCAAAGCTGAATAAATTGACCACTTAATGCATTAGAATTGTGTCAAGAACATGCTGAAGGACACACCCACAATAAAACAGCAGTTTGACAGGTCGCAAATTCTGCCCCATTTCTGTCTCACTGTGGTCAGCCGTAGGTCTGTTCCATTCCATGTACATCCCTCCCCTGAAGAATGCACAAGGTCCACACTTAAATTGTATATGTTTTGTATGCGAAATACACATCATCATTTGGTACCTAGCAGAAAGGAAGGCACAGAGCCTTGATCAGGCCTGAAACCAAACTAGTAAAAATGTCTTGCATTCTCCAGAAAAGTCCAGAGCTGTGACACTACCACTTGCCCACTCAAAAACAGGGACAATAGAACAATAGATTATGTATTGAATGGTCCTCCTAGTGTGAAGATGGCTTTCTGGCTTCTTCTTTCTTTGCATCAGATATTCCTTATCTTGAAATGCAATGAAAATATGTTATCTCAGGGATGGGAAATTCCAGTTCCCATTTGCCTCAACCAGCATGGCCCAATGGTCAAGTGCGGTTGGGATAATGTAGTCCAACAAATTCTGGAGGATCATCTAGAGGACTACAGGTTCTCCACCCTTTATGGATCAGTCATAGCAATGATTATACAGATTTCAGCTCCAATGATCTAGCTGTTATTATGGCTTTGGATATTTATATTCCCTTGGCTTGGTTGACAAAGCCAACCCCATCCTCTATGGGAGAGGCAATTCACACATAAATTCACGTGTCCTTCCAGAACCCCAACGCTATAAGGCCAAAACCCTTTGCTAGCACATTTGTAATTGATTTGGTTAGTTTTTATTTTATTTTATTGCTGGTGCTGAAGCGTTATTTAATATATTTTAATCCAAGAATCTCAGAGTACTTTTGTGGCTCACCACCCACCCACCCATTTTATTCTCACAACAACCTAGTGAGCTAAATTAGGCAAATATTTTGTGACTGGCCAAAATTTCAGTGACCTTCATGGCTGAGTGTGGATTTGAATCTGAAATCCTAACTTCTATGCCACCCTGTGACTTTCTAAGTAAGGTACATATGTCTAGTTTATAAGGGCACACTCTGGATTTGAACATATGGGTGTTTGTTAGGAGATATTTGTACTGGGGTTTTTTTCTGGATGCTGCTGTGGTGCTGTTTGCTTCAGGATCCACTAGGGCCTGGGCAACAGCATTGTTGAACCTCATGATGAATGCACATGGTATCAGCAGGGGCGAATGAAGGCGTCAGGACACCCGGGGCCGAGCGTCGCTACATAGGCGCATGTGCGGCATTGCTATGTACGATGCATGCACTGTACGTGGCAACGCCACACATGTGCTGTACATAGCGGTTTGCCGGCAGCACTGCTCCAGCCCCATACGGATGGTGCCGGGATCCTCTCCTTGCAGCTGCAGCCACAAACGGAGGATCCTCCACATGCGGCTGTGGTGACTGATGGCTGCTCATGCTGGTGCCTTCTTGTCACCCCCAGACATGGCACCCAGGGCGCACCACCACCCCCGTTGTGACGCCACTGGGTAGAAGAAGAGTTTGGATTTGATATCCCGCTTTATCACTACCCGAAGGAGTCTCAAAGCGGCTAACATTCTCCTTTCCCTTCCTCCCCCACAACAAACACTCTGTGAGGTGAGTGGGGCTGAGAGACGTCAAAGAAGTGTGACTGGCCCAAGGTCACCCAGCAGCTGCATGTGGAGGAGCAGGGGCACGAACCTGGTTCCCCAGATTACGAATCTACTGCTCTTAACCACTACACTACACCACACTGGCTCAATAAGGGTATCAGCCCTTATTGAAATGACAACTCTAACCCATGCTAGAAGACATCCTGTGCGTGGGGTTAAGCGCAAGCAATCAAAGACCTGCATGGAAAAACAAGGAAGGAAGATAAATACACATCCAAACTTGGCATACTTCTGCCAGAATTACTGCTGGTTGAGAGATGTGCAGGAAGCTGCATTGAGCTGAGTTGCAGCTGTGAGTGGCGACGCATCTCGTATTATTATATTTTTTATGGTAAGCTGAGGAAATGGAGGGGTTGTGTGTGTTTTTTGCAAATCCATGATATTTTTTTATGGCTCTTGCTCTGCAGCCAAGCACTTTCCGCTTTGTCTCTTGTTACAGCCATATAAATACACAACACTGGGTGGGCTTTGTATAGTCCCCAAAACAGTGTTGCAGCGATTCATGAAAATACAGTTTGCAAGGAAGATGTGTAAATCACAGCCGGCCAAAAGCCCTCTTCTTCAGAGAAAGTTTAAATCTTCTGTGCTCTTGTACAGCAGAGCTGGCCTCAGTAAATAATTTTATTGTGTACTTTTATAAACAATTCTGGAAGAGAAAATTCTCGCCTTTAACACAGTAACGTATTGCAGCTTTGCTACCCAAAGAATTGGATTGATTACGGTGGGATTTAAGATTGATAATAGATAGATCCGTGTTATGACACCCATTGTTTTAGTGCTGGGCTATAGAGGAATGCTTCCTTAAATGGATCATTGTATAAAATATTGACCTGGAGGACTTCATTATTCAAGTTGGAGAGACAGCCACTACTTAACAGTAATAAACTGTTTCTCTGTTACATTGAGAATACTTCAGAAAATATGAGAGTTGTCAAATCTCCTGAAAATCCTGTCTTTATAGTACACATGACACTAAAGCTCAGGCAGTATTTTCTGCTAATAAAAGCAAAGGCACAGACAGATGTGAAGGATATCATGGTGCTCTGACAAGAAACTAAGAAAAATGATACTTTGTTGTGAAGAAGGAAAGACACAGGCCAATGACCTTGGGAAGCTTTACTAGACCCAGTTATTTCTGTTGGCGTAAAGGAAAGGAAAGTAATGCCAAAGTGACGTAAAAATAAATATATAAACCTCGGGACTGTGCTAAACTATATACACACATTTTGTGGAACAAATAATGGTGGAGAATCCAAAGGTAATTTACAGTGGTACCTCGGTTTACAACCATAATCTGTTCCGGATGTCCGGTTGTAAACCAAAACAGGTTGTAACCCAAGGCGCACTTTCGCCAATGGGGCCTCCAAAAAAAAAAGAAGAAGAAAAAAGGGCTGTAATCCAAAAAAAGGGACATGCGCTTCCAGGTTTGACGTGGTTGTAATCCAAAATGGTTGCAAACCAAGGTACCACAGTATTTAATATTTACATGCACTCCTTTTTTTTAAGGCAACATCCTGAAAGTGTGGAACAGATCAGCCTTATACTGCAGTCTTCAATAATATAATGGACACAGTTCATTAAGAAATAAAGTCCTCCATGGGTGTGAATGGGAGCTGCACAATATAGGGGCTGACTCTGTTGCACAGTGGCCACACATTTCCATGAGGGGTGTTTTTGTTATTTTTTGGTCGCTTGGTGGTAGAGATGTAAGAAGGCATCAATTTCCTTCTGACCTGTGTTTGTTGCATGCAGCTGCTTCCGTTCCACTACAGTTCAACTTCTGATGCAACTGCATTGTTTGTCTCACTGTCTGTTGTGGTGGAATTTTATTTAATTAGTTACATAATCATTATGTTATTAAAGGTAAAGGGACCCCTGACCATTAGGTCCAGTCATGGCCGACTCTGGGGTTGCGGTGCTCATCTCGCTTTATTGGCCGAGGGAGCCGGCGTACAGCTTCCGGGTCACGTGGCCAGCATGACTAAGCCACTTCTGGCGAGCCAGAGCAGCGCACCGAAACGCCATTTACCTTCCCGCCGGAGCAGCACCTATTTATCTACTTGCACTGGTGTGCTTTCGAACTGCTAGGTTGGCAGGAGCAGGGACCGAGCAACGGGAGCTCACCCATTGCGGAGATTCGAACCGCCGACCTTCTGATCGGCAAGTCCTAGGCTCTGTGGTTTAACCCACAGCGCCACAGTGTTATTAGACATTGTTCATTTCACTGCAAGGGAGGGGGAACTATGCAAATGGGAAAAAGTAATGAATTAAGTATTGTCCGTGGACTGAATACAGCATGAGTGCAAAGTCATATTTGCTGGCTTGATTTCCATTCTGAAAATGGCATGAATAAACAAACATCTGCAATTTTCAGTCCCATTTCTGTGTCCATTAGAATTCTCTAACTTCTCCACCTGGTGGCAACTACTCCCTTGGGGTGAATCAGAGAGAGAGATGGGAGATGGGACATATTGACAACTTCCACCAGGCTCCTACCTCCATCTGCAGTCACCTGGCAAGCATTCATTTTATCAGACTGAAACAGGAGAGGGGAAAGGTAAAGGGTAAAGGGACCCCTGACCATTAGGTCCAGTCGTGACTGACTCTGGGGTTGCGGTGCTCATCTCGCTTTATTGGCCGGGGGAGTCATGTGGCCAGCATGACTAAGTCACTTCTGGCGAACCAGAGCAGCGCACGGAAACGCCGTTTACCTTCCCACCGGAGCGGTACCTATTTATCTACTTGCACTTTGATGTGCTTTTGAACTGCTAGGTTGGCAGGAGCTGGGACTGAGCAACAGGAGCTCACCCCATCGTGGGGATTCGAACTGCTGACCTTCTGATCGGCAAGTCCTAGGCTCTGTGGTTTAACCCACAGTGCCACCGGAGAGGGGGAAGGTAGGGGCCACTAATTTAGCTCTGCTGGAAGAACAGCTCCTTGTGGTTTGGCCTCTTCTTAAACTGTTCTTATTTCACCTGATCTCTATAAGAGCTACTGTACAACTCTAAGAATTGGTGCCTGAATTTTCTTGTTTTCATCTTCCCTCCTTACCGGATTTTCCTTTTGTACTGAGTCTTTTTTAAAGTAAGCCTGCAGTTAGAGTATCTTGATTTTACTGATCATATTTAAGCCACTCTATGAGCTCTTTATTGGGTGAAGAGGGATATTAAATGAAGAAATAGCGTGGATTGTGTTTTAACCTATTTGCGTCTGGCCGGGTTGTTGCTCAGGCCTTGACATATTTGTACTCCTGACGCACCTGCCAACTTGCATAAGCCACTCATCATTAAAGAGGATAAAAAAAGTGTTTGATAATTGATTTGATTCATAAGTAAAATGTTTTATAGGTGAACAATTCAATATGAAACCACATACTGAAGGGCTTTCTTCAATGATTCACTTAATTTTTATTCTAGGATCTAGTTAGGAAATCCAGAGCAAAGTCATTTGTTTTGCTTATATTATTATTTTGAGATTTTACTAGGTACATGAACTGGGGGCAGAAAGTAACAGGAAGCAGATGACTGTATAGCCATGATTTACAGCTTGCTTATTAGTTTCTCAACAGGCTAAACAGAATTTTATATATAATCTTTATAGCCTGAATTTAGTTGCCTGGAGCTGTCACTTAACATCATCTGCGTATGCAGTACTGCCAGGTATTCATTTGCTCTAGATTAAACATGTTGAAGCAGTTGAGAAGGAACCATGAGCTTGAAAAGCATGACACTGATTTTCATGGCCTATCGACTGAATGTTTTTAACATTATTTATTTCTATTTAAAAAAGAAATCTCCCCTGATGAAATTCCCAAATTACATAAGGGCACCATATTCCCTTCACTGAAAATTGTGGAATCTGAGAACCAAACTAAAAGTGGCATTTGTGTCCTGAATTCTAAAAAAAGAAAAAAGATAGTATGTGGAGTAGCCAAGCCACATCAGGACTGGGGGTGAGTGGGGCTTGAACCCTTTGCCCCAACTGCAGTTCAGTTTGGCATTACCAAAGGGGAGGTGCAAAACACCCTGCATTAAAGCCACTGCAATATGACCATTTCCTGTCCAAAGGCCCAGAAACGTATCCTATCAGGAAGCAGTGGTAGTAGAGGCGGCAGATACTTCCCAGACCCTGATGGAGGAGTTTCCCTACTGGGGGTGGGACTGCAACTACCATTCCCAGAATCACCAACAGAAAACTGACAATGTTTATGTCATTACTGTTGAGGAGAAGACCATTCCAAGGCATTAGAGGGCTTTCTTTCTAGTGGAATAATATGCTAGTCTTAGTCCCATTCCTGGCAGGTAAAAGATGCTGTGTGGCCAACTCTATAGTTCTCTATCTAAAGAGCAGTCAGGTGATGCCCCAAGAAATCCCCTATCTTCTCACCTGATTAAAGAAATACCCAGGATGCAAAGGGGTAGCTCACACACCCTCACCACTGACCTGCTGGTAGCTGTCTTTGTGATTCCTTTCCTCCCTCTGCAGTTCTAAGGCCAATGCTGGGAAAGACATGTGTTGGTTAAAACAAAACAAAACTCTGTAAAGAGCAACATTTCAATAAGGCTTGTGAAATGCCTCCAGGGAGCTCCACACATCTCTTCTTTTGCTTTGCATTGTTTACAGCAAACTTGCCTGTGTTTCATCCGTTTCTCTCCCAGTGCTTTTACAGCCAGTGTAAATTCCAGCCCTCTTCAGCCATTCGAAAAAATAAAACTAAAATAAAAATTATATGAATAATGAATGTGCAAGGGGTGGGGGCGGTTGAGAGCAGATTTCATGACCAACCCACCTACATTCATTAAAATGTCTGTAACAGTCACTCGCTTCAACAACTAGGGAGGTTTTCAACCCTCCAGCCCTCTCATCACATTGCAAAGGTATGTCTAAATAACACCATTTTTAGGTGACATCTAAAAGAAGGCAGGGATGATTCTTGCTGAACCTCTAGTGGAAGGGAGTTCCACAGGGCAGGTCCTGCCACAATCAAGGCTTGGCCCCTAGTAAGGCTGGCGAAACCTCAGGGGTGTTGGGAACCAAAAGAAGTACCCCATAAGAAGGATCTCAGTGTTCAAGGTGGAGCATAAGGGTACTTTGAACCTTAGTTGTTTAGGGCAGGTCTGTGCAGAGCTTCATACCTTCCGACATTTCTCCAGTGAAAATAGGGATGTCATTATCATTATCAATATTAATATTATTATTATTATTATTATTATTATTATTATTCCCCATCCATGTGACTGGATTGCCTCAGCCACTCTGGGTGCAGATATAAAAACATAATAAGACATTAAACATTTAAAAACCTCCCTATGCAAGACTACCTTCAGTTGTCTTCTAAAGGTCATATAGTTACTTATCACCTTGGCTCGGGGGTCGCATAACTCCATACCCTCCAATAAAAATAGGGACATCCTACCATACCCTCCAACATTTGTTCAATGAAAATAGGGACATCCTAAGGAAAAGTGGGGCATTCTGGGATCAAAACAGAAACCAGGGCAGCTTCTGTAAATCCAGGACTTTCCCTGGAAAATGGGAATGCTTGGAGGGTCTGGAACTTGTCTGAGGCCTGGGATGGGAGTCTGATTGGAATAAAGTTCTAAACAAACCAAAAAGCAGCTGGACCTGGTGAGGTCCCAGCCAGCTTAGCCCTCCAAGGCTGGGTGCAAGTGTACCTAGTTGTCCTTCCCCTGCACAGGCCTGGTTGGGAGCTTTGTGAATACCACAAGGACCTTGAACCTGGCCCAGCAACAAATTAGCAACCAGTGCAGCCAATTAATCCTGAGTTTTGAATGCCCAAAATGACTTAAGCTTTCCCTGTTCATGTATATTATTATGCTGGGACAACTGAAACATGGGAAACTGCCTTATACTGAATCAGACCACTGGTCCATGCAGCTCAGTATTGTTTACAGTAAATGGAAGCCAGGATTTAAGACAAGGGATTGTCCACCTGGAGATGCCAGGGATTGAACCAGTGACTTTCTGCATCCCAAGCAGCTGCTCTAGCACTGAGCTACAGCCCTTTCCATAAGAATGCTTTCCTGGGGTTTGCTGCTCAGTCTCCCTTTTAGTAATGTAATGTTTGAGGAACATTGATTTCCATGTTCCAATATAATGTTGTAGAGCTGATGCCTTAGATTTCTTCTGCTTGTATTGGTTGTCTGAACAATCACAAAGCTTGAGACTGAAAAGTGAGGTCTGCCTCATAAGCCGGTTAAATGTTAAAGGGTAGTGTCCCTCTAAGCACTGCAGGATAAGGTGAAACTTCTCCCATTGCCGTGCTTTCCCATATCTTTAGAGAAGTTAGTGAGGCAAAGATAGGTGCAAATATATGGATCCCTTTTCCTTATTGCAAAGTTAGGGACAGTCACTGCACTCTTTCACTACAAGTTCTTCACAAAATTGGTTGCAATGTGATATTTATTTGCATGTTCAGACGTTTAAACCTCCCCCTTAAATAAATGCAGACAAGACTCAAATTTTGGTTTGGTTTTTGGCAGAATTTAGGCTACAACTTTATTGATTACAGCAAGTGAGTGGTTGCATAGGCTCTGGTTCGACTAGCTCCCTGCCATGCAGGTAGCGCTGACCCAGGGTTCCAGTATAGGTCAGCCAAGGGTGAACACCTGGATAAGCGGAAAGCCAGGAACAGGCTATCTTCACCACCCAAATGGCCCAATGGACTCAGGCAAGGACACAACCCCCTCTCAGGGGTTGATCAAACCATCGAATCCCTAGATTCCTGTCCCAACAACAGACGACATACGATGGCATAGCAAGGTCAAGCGCACAAGCCCTAAAAGTAGGGAGATGTGGGCGGGTGTTCCAATGCACGTGCTGAAAGAGGAAGCTCTGGGTCATGTGCATAGGTATATATAGGTCCCTTGATCCGTTTAGCCTGTGTCCCATTGGCCTGATTAAACCCTGCATCAAGGGAGCTACCAATTGGGTATTGTGGCTATCCAATAATACCCACTCACAATACAGGGTTTGGTTGCCAGGTCTCACCACAACACGTGCCCTCTTTAAGGGAGGACATGGTTTATTCAACTTATAATCTGCCCTTCCTCCTAGAAGAGCCTGGAGCAGCAATCGCATCAGTAATAATAACAGTAATAATATTTTTAAAGAAGCATTCTACAAACAGTTTGTAGAACTGTCTGTGATTCTCTCTGTCTGTGATTTCATGGTTGCCAGGAACAGCATCTTTTCAGCTATTAAATGCTTGGGTAAACAGGAATGTTTTTTAATTCATCCAGAAAGTCAATAATGAGGGAGACAGACTCATCTCACCAGCAAGAGCATTCCACAAATGGGGAACCACCACTGAAAAGGCCCTCTCATCAGCCAATGAAAACTGGGTAGTCTCTAGAGGTGGCAGCACCAACAAGGCCTCCTGACTATTGTAGGGTCCAAGATGGAGAGTAATAGCCCATGCTTGGTGGATTAACCCATGGGTAGCCAACACAGTGTTGTTCGGCTTCAGCTCCCATCAGCCCCTGCCAGCACAACCAGTGGTCAGGGATGATGAGAGCTGTATCCACCAACATCTGAAGGACACCATGTTTGCTGTTCCTGGGTTAGCCAATCCTAATAAGGATATCCTGGATAATAAATTGTCTATCACAACCTGAGGTGAATTTGGCAAGGTACATGTATCTGTCATGTGACTCAAAACCTTCATAACACAATAATATAAAACGAAAGCATTGTTTGGGAGCTCAGGGTTGCAGTTGTTACGTGGCACTGACTCCATGGCCCCACCTGCACTATCTGTTTAAAGTAGTATAATTGAAGCACTTTGAACAGCCATAGCTTCCCTCAAAGATTTGTGGGAACTGTGGTGTGTTAAAGATGCTGAAAACCATTAGAAGACTCCTGCTCCTCTCACAGAACTACCTTTCTCAGGGTGGTATAACCAAGGCTTTTATTCAGCCGGAGCTCACAGGAACGCAGTTCTGGCACCTCTCAGGTGGGCACCATTGCCATTATAAGAGAACAAGGGAGGCATTTGTGATGAGTTCCGGCACCTCTTTTTCTAGAAAAATAGCACTGGGTATACCAGTCAATCCGTCTCTCATATGGGTTGCCATATGTCCAGAATTTCCCAGACATGTTTGGAATACTGCAGTCTGCAACAGTGTCCGGGTGAAAATCCAGACGTATAGCAGGCTATGTCAGCAGTGCCATTTTTGCCAACTTTCCATTGCCCCCAAAAATCTCAGGGAACCATGGGGATTGTAGCTCTGTGCAGGGAACTGAAGTCTCCCAAAGCCCAACACCCCAAGATTCTCTGGGGGAAAAGCATGACCATTAAAACTGGTGGGAAGAGTTAGAGGCCAAACAAAACAAAAAATCCACAAGGAATGGAGAATATTTAAAGAATATTTGAAAAACCATGGTAATCTCCTGGCAGACCTAGACTAAGCCTTGTAGTATATAAAGGTAATTGACAATTTACATAGAAATACGATAAAAAATAGAAGAAATAAGTAACTGTGCGGTAAAAGTGTATTTAAC